GAGATCGCTCGAACCAAGGTTTCTAGTAGTAGATCAATTTCCGCCACCAGTGATTGCTGGCCAAGCATCAAAGCACTTAGCATTAGCCTGAGATACATGGTAATGATCCGCCCACTATCAAAATCGCTGCAAACAATTTTGAGGTTTCGTTTAGTTATCAGGGCATCTGTTATGACCTCTCTTCCGTGAGGCTTATAACTAGTTGCTCCGGTTATTGAGGCTTGCCACTGAACTTTCACAATTGAATCTCTTGAAGCTTAGTCCTCGTTTCATGCCCAACAAGTATCTTGTAACAATCTTCTTTTAAGCGTTAATTGAGAACTTCTATTGGTGGTCCTTGGCTGTATACTGGGTGAGGCTCCCCTTGATGATAATCCTTAACCTAGTAATCATTTGCATTCTCTCAGAGTGGGGCGTGGGGTATTCCCAATAGTCGGCCCTAGTCTCAGACCTCGTTTAGCTCAACTCGACGGTGAGTTACGCCCGGACTACAGTCAAGATTACAAATCACCAAACTTGAACAGGAAGCTTTTCACCCGTTAACACGGTCACAATACACAGGGGATAACGCCGGTCATAAACCTTTGCTCATGTGCAATATGAGACGTTTGCAAGCCACTGTCACCGTTCACGTTTAACACTAGACATTACTAGCACTTCTTCTCATTTAGTCGCCACGCAACAATTCTCCTTAGGCAGTATCAACATGACACCATGCACGACACTTCAATGGTTTTCCCTTACTCAGTTCGCTTTCTTAGTACTGTTAATTATTTCTTTTGGTTCACCTATGAGATAAGAGTCACACTCCGTTCTTTTCAGGCTAAATATTCCCAGGTGAGTTCTCGCTCTTATACAACGCCCCGCGATATCCCAAAGGCTATGACTCTCTCATCATAGGTCAAGGTGCCTTCGGGCATCAATCTATCTCTCTTATCCGACCTGAACGAAGCTCCGGGAAGGTCCTCAGTCCCTCACTAGACCTGAAGCCAATTACCCCCCCCCTTTTTCACTACAAGCAAAATTCATTACAGAACTAATGATTTGAGCACTGAGGATGCAATCACTCAACTTGTTCCGAATGTAAACTTGGCTCCTTAATATCCAGTGATTCCATAGAGTAGTCCTAGATCCGAGAGGTTTATTTGAATACCCAGGACATAGTCCGTTCTCACAGGAAACATGACCGATGTTCTTCGCCCCCACTCTTAAGTTATAACGGGTGCTCGGGCAAACATAAAAGTTCTTTATTTAACCTCAGGTTTGAGACCATCAATCCCCATCAAGTAGGAGCTTGGCGAGAAGGTAAGCCACTTTTCTCATGACAACCTTTCGTCTTCCCATCTAGCGAGTTACATGCCAAGAGATAAAAAGGAAGAATTTTGAGAAAACGAAAACTTAGTCTTTGGTAGTGGTTTTCTTATCCATTGTTACGCTTACCATTCGCTCTTTGCCACTCCAATAAGGGAACTCTTTCTCATCCTATTTTGTGGCCCATTCAGCTATGGTCGACATAAGAAAACCATGGTCACTTATAACTGCTGGTCAACGCGAGTAAAAATGGATAGCAGCGAACTCATTGTGATAATGATGGCAGGCACGGCGTTCGTCTGACAGCAAGCAAAACAGCCATACAATCCTATTTGCATCAACGGCAAGAAACCAGCAGATCTCGCGTGCAAATCTTGAGAGGTCGACTCCCTGACTGTACATTCATACTCTTATTACCCTCACGATCGAGTTTCCCCTCACTGACGATTGGATTGTTCTCCCATATCCCGGCCTTGGGGAAAATAAAAGCCGCTAACACATGGCGTCAACCTTCGGGTTCATGCCCATCGTTAACTGGCGCTTCTAGTGGTCAGATCTTGATTGGCCCTCCCAATCGCTCATCACACTCCAATGGTTTGCACGTACCATTTGTATCCCTCTCGTCTAACGCCAATAGAGACGCAACTTATCACACGACGATAGCTGACGCAGATCACGCCAGAGGTATATGGCATAAATTGTAGCGCACGCACTTGCCTCCTTCAAGAACTCGTCGGGCGTTTTGGCCTCTCTTCTGAGCACAATGCTCTTACCCCTCAGTGGCACCTCCGCTCACAATCCGTGCTCTTTGAACCCTCACACGTCACCCATTTCTGTGGACAATGGTTAACACAATATCACACTAATCAAACATAGATAGCACAGGGCACGCACGCAGGGTCTTCGTCTGCGTACTCTGAGAGGCTGCGTTGATCGTTGAGCCTCATACAGCCGTGTTTTCTTGTCCTGACAGTGGCGAGAGTGAGGTATGGGGAACAGTCACCTGAGTGTTGCACACTATCCACCCTGAGACAAAAGAAACAAACAAAAAAAATCACATTTTCCCCGCGCAGTCCGACCAGCTTCATGTCGCTCACTCTCTCTGATTGTGACTGACGCTCTCCCTCCTTGGCTCTCACACGTGCCTCTTCGTACTAGTTCCCTGCGTGCTGAAGTCAAGTTGACGTCAACTTTTTTCAAACATGCACACTCGTCATGCACATGCCCTTCACCCTCCTTTGATCTGACTCCCTCTCTCTCTCTCACAACCCCTGATTGCACTTCCCTGCCGAACGCAGTAGGCTCACGCACCACACGAGCGCATAGGCAGTAGTTGACGTCAACCACATTGCGCCCGCCCTCTGTTTCGCTACCCTCTCTTTTCCATTCCCTTTCTCTGACCTTCTTCTCTCTTACTGCCCCTGGACCGTCCACATGTAGCCCGCGTACGCGCGTAACTGCCTCGAGCTCAGTCCATCATTCTACTAGTGTTCGCGCTCGATGGTCCAACCCCTGTTGGCTTCACTCTGCCCCAGGCCGAACTGTCCTCGGGCCCATCCTCTACTGGTCCCGCCAACGGATGGTTTCGGCGGATCTGATTCAGTCCATGCCAGGACTGGACATCCGCCTCTCGGTCGCTCATCTCTGACTCCCCTTCAGAGTCTCTGTCGTTGCGCTGCACCTCTCTGGTCGTGGTCCCGATCGACGAGTCGTCTTCATGGTATGTGACCGTCACTCGCATGCCTGCAGTCACCCCGTCACGCCTGCATTTGCGCTCCGTCCTGTTACGTGCCTCAATGATCGCGGCCTGCAACCTCTCATCCCTTCTCATCTCTTGTTCCCTGTGACCACACACATTGATCTTTAGCCTCACGTCTGGAGCGACACACTGCTGGTTGGAGGCAGCGTTATTTTGCACTAAGCTACGGAGTAGGGAGTAGTGGCGTAGGCAGTAGAGAGAGGCGGAGGCCTTACCTGCAAGTGGCGAGCTTACCTGGCGCCATAGCCGAGCTCCACGAGGTACCTGCACACGACGACGACCACAGTCAGTACGGTGACAGCTGCCTGCAGGTGAGCTAGCAAGGAGGACGTCATCTCGTTCTTCTTCCTCCATCTCTCTCTCTTCCTTCTTCTTCTTCCTCCTTCCTCCTCCTCCTGATCTTCTTCTTCACCTACGAGAGTGAGAGAGGTTATCAGTAGGAGGTACAGGCAGAGGTTATGTTGGGCACATTGCCCAGGATCTGATTCGACATTTCTAGGACGGACATTGATTGGACACTCGACAACGGGCTATTTTTGGGACTTCGCTATCGCGATCTTGGTCTACTCCCTCGCCTCCTTCTCCTTCGTCTCGTCCCCTTCCCCCAGCTCTCGTCCGTGGTATCTCCCCATGTATGTGTGCGAAGGAGGGACCTTTCTTTTGTGATTGCGGTCCCTCCTCCCCTCTCACATGTGTGATGTATGATGGATGTCAGGTCAGTCCAGATCAGATCAGATCTTCTCTTTCAAGTTTACTGCTGCGCCACTTTGTGCCATCTTGTATGTATCGAAATGTACATTGCTTGTTGATGCTACACTGACCTTGCATTGTCCATTTCAGTCCTTTTCATCACATTGCGGATTCTTGGCTCCCTACGCATTGTCCCATTGGGCATGCGTCAGTTTGGTATCGGAGCACCGCTTGTGAATCACGACAACCTGATCTGACACAAGGGCGGGGACAATCGAAGACTGATTGATTGATTGAGTGAGTGAGTGAGTGAGTGAGTGAGTGAGTGAGTGAGTGAGTGATTGGATTACACTAATTAGTCCCCAAAATCGCGGATTTTGACCTAACTGCTGAAATCGAAAACTCTTTTTCCTTTTCTTGGATTTCATTTTCCCGCTATTCTCATTCGTGGAAAATCGCAATAGCGTAGCATCTAAAATTTTCGTTTTTTCTTTTTATGAAATTCAAAATTCCGGTGCTGGAGGTCCGGAAATATTACAATTTTTTTTTTGATTCATCTTTTCCTTCGCAATTCCCCGTTAATTCGAAATTCCGAAAATCATTATTCGAACTTATTTTCGAAAATCTTTTTGCGTTCTCTTATTATTCACGCATCCCGGGAGTAACGGAAATTTTAAAATTTGACCGTTATTCCCAGATTCGGGAACTATTCCCAAATTCCGAGTTCTTTTTATGATTTGGAATTCTCCGAACTTGCGGAATTTTTTTTCCCAGTTCAGTTACTTTGGTAATCTCCATTTGTTATTATTTTTTCTTTGTATCAACAATATGAAATTCGAATTTTTTTTCGAATTACCTATTGTGGGGAAACATAGGAGACCTACCGAACTTGCAATCGAGAAACTTTATTAATATTTTTTATTTTTATTTTTTTTCTCAAAATTTTCGCAAAGTTCCAAGTTTTCATTTTTTGATTAGTGGCTCCTTATCTGGGCGATCCACTCGGTCCCCCCACTCCCCACCTCTCCCTCCCAACTCTTCTTCGTGCTCAACTGCCCATCAGTTTTGGCTACAGCTTGGTAAGTCCCTACTTTTGCAAGCGACGTCAGCTACCCGCGGCACATGACCCTACTCACTCGTTCACAGACAGCAGGGATGGATCAGAAAGCCAACAAGACTGACGAAGCCTATGAGGCACGGTTGGCGGCCATCATGACTGAAAGCAAGCAACGGGCAAAAGCATCAGCAGCAGCACGGAAGAAGAGGGAGGCGGTGGCAGAGAGGCTGCGTCAGATCGCCGAAGAACAACGACAGAAGCACGCAGCAGCAACATCAAAGGCCGCCGATGAAGAACGCGTACGGCGGCAGGAGATTCTCTTCATGGAGGAGACTACGTTACACGCACAGGCCAGGGATTGGCAGAAGGAGGCCGAGAATGGAGACTCCGTTAACTACGGGACTACGATTGCTCTCTTGCTCAACTGCGTCACGGACCTCCTCGCTACTTGCAGTGCACAGCAGGAGGACATTCACTCTCTCGACCACGCCAATCAGGCGCTGACCAAGCGCATACAGCAGCTGGAGCAGCGACCCGTCGCCACTTCCAGCGTCGGCCCCTCCGACCTCGTCGACCGAGTCAACGTCTTGGAGATAGACATGGGAACGCTCAAGATCGAGACACAGCGACTGGACCAGCAGGTGGGAGCAGCAACCGCACCTAGCTCAGCGCCTCGGGAGAGCATTCCCAAATTCGAGGGGCTCCCGATCTTCGGCGATGCATCGAAGACGGACCCTATACCTTGGTGGCGCCAGTTTGAACTAAAGTTGGACATCCACCAGGTTGTCAACAAGAACCGGCACGCATACTTGTACTCCCGGTCAGGAGGTGCGTGTCAAGCATGGTTGGACAACATGTTGTCCGCACATGCATGCACAGTCTCCGAGTTACACAACTTCGTCACCTGAGCCGATCTCATGACAGCATGGAAGAAATGTTTCCAAGTGGAACCGCCCGAGCATCAGGCGATGGACAAGCTGCTGACATTCGCACATAACAGCATGCCAAGCGGAGACTGGATATTTGAGTTCCAACGCCTGGCAAGCACGGCCAAGTCGCCGATAAACTTCGGCGGCATCATGCTCTGCTTCATCAAGAGGTCGTGCCCAGCGTTGCAAAATGCGTTAACTCGGGTCGCTGAGAACCTCAACACAAGTGAGGAACTCTTCAACAAGGCCGCGCATATCATTGTGACGAACTTGGAAGCCAAGAACATTGGTCGTTCGTCGACTGCCGGCCAGGGCGCATATCAGCATCGACCGAGAGTGGCCGTGGTCGCGGCAGCAACGCCAAGCGACCCTTCAACTTCAAACGAGGCTGCCTCGTCTGACGAGGGAGACAGATTAGCAGCTGCCCAAAATGGTGGCCGCCCCGCCAAAGGACAAGGACGTGGCAAAACGAAGACAAACACCACTTCTTCTGGGCCTGGACAAGCAACTCCAGCTCAAGAACCTTGGACACAATATGGTCTGACGGAGCGCGGGTATCGCGTCCGCACCAAGTATCGTTATTGTTTGTGGTGCAACTGCACGACACATGAGACTGTGAACTGTCCCACGAAAACCAAGGGCCCCGCTCAATGGGAAAGTGAGCACCGCCGAGAGTGATGCGACGACACTCTCGACGCCTTCGGAACCGGTTGCCGTACGGGTAACCTCCCTCGATTCCGGGGCGCATGCGGAAGTCGTAAGTCCTCCCATTCTTCTTTCTTTCGAGGATTGTGCTGCCCGACTCGTACCTTCGCTGAATTCACGAGCCCAAGGACAGGATGTATGTGCGGTTTCTTCTCCGTTCGGAAGCAGCAGCATTGAGTCGTCTTCAAGTGGACCTTCACGGGATTTGGCGCGTGCGTTCAACATAGAGGACTTGGACCCGTTGACGTGCGAGGATTTTGCATGGCTCCCTCTCCCTTCCATCGGCTGCTTACCGGAGCCGCAATGCGCAGCTCTTGGCGCTCATCTACATACATACCTAGCCTTTTATGCACCACCAACTTCGTCGACGGAGGACGAAGTTGCGGTGGGGGACACTCTTGCGTACGTTAGCAAGGTGGCCCGTGAGTTTCGCATGCAGCGATACGATGACAATAACGCACCGCTCCTTTATGTTCGCAGCCAAGTTGGGCAAGCGTCCTGCAGCGCTTTGCTGGATAGCGACGCAACTCGCAACTTCATTAGCCAGTCCTTTATGCAAAGGGCCGGCCTTGGCCCACAAGTTCGAAGGAAGGCACACCCTACGACGATCAAGTTTGCGGACAGTAGGACGCAACAACTCCTTGGTCGCTACATCGAGGCCGTACTGGTCTATTTCGCAGCTCATGCATGCGAACCGGTGACGTTTGACGTCTTGGACACGGACTTCGGCATCATTTTGGGCATGCCTTGGTTTGCAAGTGCGGATCACACGGTCAACTTCCATCGGCGGACACTTACGGTCCGCGACTCGTTTGGCGCCGAAGTACCATGTACCATCCCTCTTCCGCACCCTTCGATTCGGTGCTAAGTTGTAACGGCCAAATCTTTTCGGGCCACTTGCGCTTACGAGCGGACCGATGAGATAGGCCTATGTTTTCTTCGAACCATCACGGCAGCCGAATCTCAACCCACAGACTTGTCTTCGGACCCCCGGGTGGTACGGTTGCTTGACGAATTCCCCGACATCTTCGAGTCACCTACCGGCGTGGTGCCGGATTGGCCGATCTCCCATGAGGCTATTCTCGAGGCCGGTGCCGTGCCGCCGAAAGGTTGCATCTATCGCATGAGCGAGGAGGAACTTACAGTACTCCGCTCACAACTCGATGATTTGTTGGACAAAGGCTGGATCCGGCCTAGTAGCTCACCCTATGGTGCGCCGGTTATCTTCGTGCGGAAGAAGGACAAGGATCTTCGCCTATGCATCGCTTACCGCAAGCTCAATGCACAAACCGTCAAGAACGCGGGACCTCTTCCTCGTATTGACGACCTTCTGGAGCGTTTGGGCGGCGCAAATTCTTTTCCAAGTTGGATTTGAAGTCGGGGTATCATCAGATTTCGATACACCCGCAAGATTGCTACAAGACCGCGTTTAAGACACGGTACGACCATTTTGAGTGGGTCGTCATGCCTTTCGGACTCACCAACGCCCCGACAACTTTTCAAGCGGCGATGACCAATGAGTTCCAAGCAATGCTAGACCGGTTCGTGCTGGTCTACTTGGACGACATCCTCGTCTATAGCCGGACCTTGGAGGAACAACTCGAGCATCTTCGACGAGTGTTGGAGACGCTCCGTCGCGCCAAGTACAAAGCCAACCGCGACAAATGCTAATTCGTACGTCAAGAGTTGGAATACTTGGGGCATTTCGTCACTCCACAAGGCCTCAGTCTGTTGTCGGACAAGATTCAAGCCATCCAAGATTGGCTGGAGCCGCGGAACGTTACGGATGTTTGTTCGTTCCTTGGCCTTGCCGGCTACTACCAACGTTTCATCAAAGGGTACTCGAAGATCGCGGCTCACTTATCCAAGCTTCAATGCGAGGACCGGCCATTTGATTTCTGGACGGATGCGCGAGAATCATTTTTGGCCCTCAAGGCCGCATTGCTGTAGGCGGAAGTCTTGCGCATATACGACCCGCTATTGCCAACGCGCATCACCACGGATGCGTCCGGCTATGGCATCGGTGTCGTCCTCGAACAACATGATGGCGTGGACTTGCACCCGGTCGAATACTTCAGCAAGAAAGTGTCGGCCATGCACTCAATCGATGATGCACGCAACAAGGAACTTCTCGCCTTCGTCCACGCACTCAAGCGGTGGCGGCACTTCCTCCTTGGTCGACGCCAATTCCGATGGGTAACGGACAACAATCCGTTGGTCTTCTACAAGACCCAAGACACCGTCAACAACACGATCGCCCGTTGGATGGCTTTCATCGACCAGTTCGACTTCTTTCCCGATCATATCCCAGGGAAGTCCAACCGTTTTGCGGATGCTCTTTCACGGCGTCCGGATCACTGCACCGACATCGACTCGACCTTCAAGATAGAGGACGACTTGCAGGACAGTTTCATCTGCGGCTATCAAGCCGACCCCGAATTTCACGACAAGTACGCAAATTGTTCCTCTCCCAATCCGGAGCCTTCGCACAATCGGATCCAAGAGGGATACTTGCTCATTTAGTCGCGGGGGAAGGATCTACTTTGTGTGCCGCAAGACTCACAATTGCGCACAAGGCTTCTTGGCGAGTTCCACGACGCCCCCGCCACCGAACACTTTGGAGTCAATCGCACGTTTGGCCGACTCCGGTAGTGCTTTTGGTGGCCCGGTCTTCTCGATGACGTCACGCGCTATTGCGAGTCATGCGAGGTTTGCCGACGTTGCAAATCCCGCAATCATCGTCCGTACGGCGAACTGCGACCATTACCGGTCCCCTTGCGCCGAAGGGAAGCGATTGCCATGGACATTACCGGGCCGTTCTCCAAGCACCAGACGGGTGTGGATGGCATTCTCACGGTGGTTGACCGACTCACCAAGTTTGGCATGTTTTTGCCTTGCCGCTATCACACCAAGGCACCGGAGTTTGCCGAGGTTCTCTACGCCCTTTGGATTCGAACCAAGGGTTATCCCAAGGAGATCGTCTGCGACCGCGACACTCGGTTCATGTCCGATTTTTGGTTGGCGCTCATCAAACGATGGGGCTCATCTCTCAAGCCGAGTTCGGCTCTCCACCCCCAAACCGATGGCCAAATGGAGAGGGCACATCAGACCGCGCAGGTCCTTCTTCGCACTCTCATCCCTCCCGACCAAAAGGATTTGGTCGAGCGATTGGCGGATATCGAGTTGGCATACAACTCGTCAATCCATCCGGCTATCGGGATGTCGCCCTTTGAGTTCGAGCATGGCTTGCAAGTCAATTCTCAATCGGACACAATCATCCCACGGGCGGCCAAGAGCGACGACCATCTTCTCTTCATTCGTCGGATGCAAGAGCTTCTTGTCAAGGCACGCGACCAGATGTCAAAGATGCAGCAACGAATGTGCCAACAGGCCAACCGCCAGCGTCTTCCTTGTCCGTTCCGCGCCGGCGACCTCGTATGGGTTTCCGCTGCGGAATTCAGCCTCGAACAAGATCTCTCTCACAAGCTCCTTCCGAAATGGATGGGGCCCTGGCCGATCGTGGCACCCGCTGGGGACGCACCCGAAGGACCATCATTTATCATTCAGGTGCCCGCCCACTTGCCCGTCAACCCGATCTTTCACTGTTCCAAGTTGGCTCTCTACACGCCAGCGGAACTTGACGACTTTCCCGGGCGATGATCGCAAGACCCACCCTCGATGGTTGGCGACATCATATCCCAGCAACGTTACGGCAACAGGCCTACTGAATTCTTGGTCCATTTTGCATATTGCACCCATAGAGCTGACAGATGGTTGACCCGTGCGGAACTTCAAGCAACAGCTCCCGATGTCCTCGCACGCTACGAACGCAAGTTGCAAGGCAAGCCGGCATCTTCGGCTCCACGCCGCACCCGCGTCCAAGTTCCACCTTCAGATCGTCAGCTTCAGGGGTGTCCCATAAGGAGGGGGGGGTGTCCCATGCTGCGCCTGCACACGGGCCCCATTTGAGGGGCCCCCCAGGCCGCGTACCATACNCAGCTTCAGGGGTGTCCCATAAGGAGGGGGGGGTGTCCCATGCTGCGCCTGCACACGGGCCCCATTTGAGGGGCCCCCCAGGCCGCGTACCATACAGCACACGCCCTGGAGGCCCACGGCGGCCCTTCAGGCCCTAGGTAGCACACTAGTTAGATAGGTTTAGTTTACTTACCTTTTTGTGTGTGTGTGCTGTCTTACTTTGTCTGTTCAGGTGCCGTTTCGGACTTGCAGCCCCAAGGCCGGACCTTGGGACTGGGTACACCGGAGGCAGGCCCAAAACGAGGCCAGGCGCATTTTGGCGCCAGACCGGTAGGTACACGCGTCGTTTCGGTCCTGCAGGTCCCAAGGCGAAGCCTTGGGCTAGGTGCTGTTTTTAGGCCGGGCGCATTTCGGCGCCTTGCTGCGTCAGCAGCATGGTCTGGATGTCCGGTAGCGACCCAGACCAGCTGGGCCGTTTTCTGAGGCCAGCATCAGGTAGGCTCAGCCCGCCCAGCGCTACAAATAGCTGGGCAGCGGCTGGGCAAGGGACAGTTGAAGTAGCTTACTGCTGGAGCGACATGCTGCTGGTTGGAGGCAGCGTTATTTCGCGCTATGCTACGGAGTAGGGAGTAGTGGCGTAGGCAGTAGAGAGAGGCGGAGGCCTTACCTGCAAGCGGCGAGCTTACCTGACGCCATAGCCGGGCGCCACGCGGTACCTGCACACGACGACGACCACAGTCAGTACGGTGACAGCTACCTGCAGGTGAGATAGCAAGGAGGACGTCATCTCCTTCTTCTTCCTCCTCCATCTCTCTTGGTTCCTTCTTCTTCTTCCTCCTTCCTCCTCCTCATCTTCTTCGTCACCTACGAGAGTGAGAGAGGTTATCAGTAGGAGGTACAGGCAGAGGTTATGTTGGGCACATTGCCCAGGATCTGATTCGACATTTCTGGGACAGACATTGATTGGACACTCGGCAAGGGGCTATTTTTGGGACTTCGCTGTCGCGATCTTGGTCTACTCCCTCGCCGCCTTCTCCTTCGCCTCGTCCCCTTCCTCCATCTCTCATCCGTGGTATCTCCCCATGTATGTTTGTGAAGGAGGGACCTTTCCTCTGTGATTGCGGTCCCTCCTCCCCTCTCACATGTGTGATGTATGATGGATGTCGGGTCAGTCCAGATCAGATCAGATCTTCTCTTCCAAGCTTTCTGCTGCGCCACTTTGTGCCATCTTGTATGTATCGGAATGTACACGCTTGTTGATGCTACGCTGACCTTGCATTGTCCATTTCAGTCCTTTTCATCACATTGCGGATCCTTGGCTCCCTACGCATTGTCCCATTGGGCAT